GGTGAAAAATACAGATTTGGGGGTGAAAATGCAAATTTTAAGAGGTGGGAGAATATTTCCAAGGTAAAAAAAAAAAATCAGATTTGCGGGGCTGGGGTCAGAATTTTAATTAAAAGTGTAAACTTGGGGGGTGGGGAGGAAATTCTGAAATTAAAAAAAAAAAAAAAGTTGATTTGGGGATCTGGAGGCAGATTTTGTAGTAAAATGGCAGAATTTGGGTGAAAGGGGTAGATTTTGAGGTCTGGAGGCGGATTTGTGGCTGAAAACGGTAGATTTTGTGTAGAAGGTGCAGATTGCAGAGCCTGGGGGGATATTTTGAGGTGGGAAAGGCCAATCTGGGGTGAAAAAGGCAGATTTGGGGCTGGGGGACCAGGGCAGAGGTTTCTGGGCCAGCCCAGGAGAAAGGCTGCAGATGCCCTTTGCATTCACCCTTTGCTCTTGCTGCTGCTTCTGACCAGCACTGGGAAGTGCTGCTGGCTGGGTTTTGTCCTGCAGAGAGAAACGTCCTCCTCCTGAATTCTGGCCTGAGGTTGCTCATTTTCGTCTGATTCGCAAAAATCCCTCCTGTTTCAGACGTGAGGCCTCAGTATTTTCTTCAGCCCTGAACCTCTCACATGATTGCACTGGCACAGAAGCCAGAAAAGTTTAGTCATGGCCTGTGTCCCTCCTGTGCCAAGGAGGACAGAAATGAAAACAACCACTTTCAAAGGCAGCTGATGGACAGAATCCCAGCCCAGAGCCAACGAGCTGGAGACACATTTACCCCAGGAATCCTGTTAGACACACACACACGCACCTTCTCAGTCAAAGAAAAGGAACCTCCCATTCCAAAAACCTTCATTTTTCAGGCCAGTGAACGAATAGGAAAAAACCACAAGCTGAAGACTTCGAAAGGAAGTTTGTGTTAGAGAGTATTTCCCACCTTTCTCAGTTTCCTTGAGCTCTGCCTCGAGGAAATGGCAATGATCCTCCCTGCTCACAGCAGCTGATGCTGGAGACCTCAAATCCCTCTGGTCTCCACTGCCCCTAGGGAAGCTGTGCTTGCATCCCTGCCTCAGCTCTTCCCGAATAAACTGAGCCAAACCTCAGGAAAATCCTGATGTTACCTTAAATAGAGGGGGTTTTAAGGGAAAAAAAAAAACTAGTTAACTAGCTCTAATTTGGTTGGACATCCATACCTGACATGCTGGAGGACACGTCTGTGTGCAGGCATGATGTGGGCTGGATGCAATTCTCATCAATTCTGTAAAAAACTCATTTCTGAAGACCTTTGAAGGTCTTGAAAACCTCCACTGAGCCACGTGGAGGGCCAGACTCTGGGAGGGGTGTAAGGTGGGTGGTAACAAAGCAGGGCTGAGAGCCTGAGGGGAATAACAAATATAAAACGCCAAGCTGAGCTGGACTGCCGGGGCAGGCAGTGAAAGTCCACAGGATGCATCCCAAAAGGGAGGAGTTCTGCTCCAGAAAGCCAAGACAACAGGTCCACAGACACCATCAAGGAGTTTTTAGGAAGAAAGTGCATGGGAGGGAAAATTCTGGAGTGGTGAGGGGCAAGTTGTAATGGGAAAGAACAAATGAATGTGGGGAAAAAAGTTTGCTACAAAATAAGAGCTGGCGCTGGTCAAACGCCCAAAACTATGGGGGAACTCATGTGGAAGAAGAAGCAATTCAAGTCCCTAGTCCTTACATGGATAAAAATGCTCAGATCCATTGGAAGCAACATCAGGACAAATGCTGTCCACAAGCTCTGGCAAGGCAGAGGCTGCGTGATTGATGCACTGCGAGCGAGACACTGCCAGCTTCCAGGACAGCTGGGAGGAACTGTGTGCAGAGCTACTGCTAAACAAATGAGCTATCTGGCTGAATAACTCACCTGGAAACACCTTCAAGATATACAATCCTGCTGCAGCCATTTAAGGGGAGAGAAAAAAGAAGGTGAAAATTGTGATAGGAGAATATGAGCAGCACTTCAGGTTCTGGGAAGGTCATGTTGCCCAAAGTCTTGGGGGAGGGTTAAATGGTCAGTGAAGTTACAATTAAAATCAAAATAAACCTGCAATCTTAGGATCCCAGACAGAGAGAGAGAGAGAGAGAGAGAGAGAGAGAGGCTACCTGCTCCTCTGGATGGAATGACAGATCATTCCCAGGGTGAGGAGTCCCATGGTATATTTGGGTTTCCTCCGCTGTCACCCACCAATCATTTTCCCCACACTGCATGGGTGGACCTTGACTGCTCTCCCCTTTCAAGGAACAGCCTTTTGCTGATTAACTGTGCAAATAAATTCAAAATACAGGATTTTCCAAGTTCCCATTTTAATTTGTTGTGCTAAGAACATGCCCGAAACATTTAAGAGCTAGGGAATCTGGGAGCACTATAAAAAGCAGAGAACAGCAGCCTCTTTTCAAGGAAGACACACTGTTTAGATTTAAGTCAATTTACTGGCAGTTTCAGGCAAATTATAGGAATTTTATAGGGTGCTAGATGCCCTGGTACTTGTCAGACCTGTGGCAAATAATGCTGTTCTCCTTCCTTCAGGCACTGTGGCTGGCACAGTCACTGCCATCCACTCGCTGGTCTTGTCCCAGTCCTCAGCCAGGAACAAAATATGGGGATATCTCCATTTTAGGAAATGAGCTGTTATTTCACTCCTTCTGGCCAACAGAAGCCCTTGCACAACACACTTTACAGTCTCCAGTATTTTCAGTCTTCTGCAGATCTCCCCATTCCCTTTGTGCTCAGTCATGGCTCCTTAAAAACACTCCAAAAGAGAAAGGCAGGATACGAGCACTTCCAGGCCAGCAGGACCGTGAGGCGTTGGAGGATTTGTCCATCACTTACTGTGGTGCCACAGTGAGCTCCAGAGGGCCCGTGCTCAGCCCCAGGCCCACAAGGAGGGAGGAATAAAGGGCTGGGAGCTCAGGGCTTGGGGCTGCTGGGAGGTAGGACATGCACACTTGGCCCAGAGCGTGCTCGGGGCAGCCGCTTTGATCTCTCATTAATGTGCAGAGCAGAAATATCTGGCGGTCAGCTGGGACAACATACAGCACAGCTGGGGACCCTGGAGGAATCTGAGGCTTTCTGAACTTCTATGAACACTTCCTTCTTTTTTTTTTTCTTTTTTTTTTTTTCCCCTCATCCCTTTTCTTTTTTTCCCTAAAAAACTGTTTCTTTTCCCAGGGAGAGATATCAAGTTCGTGATGTAACAGCTACAGTGATGGCTCTTCTTTAAGTCAGTAGGGGTGTGCGGTTACAGAAGGATGAAAAAGTACAGGAAAAGTGTCTTTAATCAAATCAGCCTCCTCTCACCAGCATACAGAACTGATCTTTAAATGCAAACACTGCCTTCAGACATTAACCCCAAATCTCCAAACATCACTTGTACGTGCCCAGATAATTGTGCCTGGCTCAAAACAAGAAGTTTTACATTTCACACCCTCTCTGACTTACAGAGTGCACCAAACCCTTCTGAGAAGAGAAACCGAGACAATACAGAGTCCTTCAAAGATCCTCCAGGTTAAATGCCCACCTAAGCTGGGCATGCAGGACTCTGTGTCTGATGGAAAGAGAAAGAAGAAGCCTCCCAGGGTTGAGTCAGTATGCCCAAGGATAGGTGGGAGGGATGCATATTTGAGACAGCCTGCCGTTCCCTCGGGAAGGCAAACCCCACACTGCAACGTTTTACATTTTTTACCAAGAATACAATAATTTCCAGATGACTTTTCCCCTCTTCTGCAACGTCTCCAGTGTGCTTGGGAGCCTTCTAGAAGAAAGGGCCTCTCATCCACGTACACCATGAGTCATCTGGAGGAGAGGGGAAGCCCTTGGAACGTGGGGATGTAACTGGTTCACAGGGCTGCTTGGAAGTCCGAAAGAGCCCGTAGGCATCTGTGGGCATGGAAATCTGTGCAGGGGTTGGGGGAGGGCTGGGAACGGTGACCAGTCAGGGCCTGGGCCAAACCAGGGTGAGATTTTTGCTCAGTGAGTCTGATGACCACCATGTCTGCTCACCAGGGGAGAAATTTGGCAAGAGTGTCGCCAGGATGGAAAGTGCTGGCAAAAGGCACGGAGCCAAAGGAGTGGAAAGAAGGGAGAAGGTCCCCACAGAGAGTATCCCACGTCCTCTCTTCCCATCAGCAAGTACTTATTTGATATCCAGCAGGCTGGGGCCAGCCTGGGGATTCTGACACTCCCCTTTTCATCCCCAAAGAATACCACAGGCTCCTCTTAATTCAAAACTCCCTCGATAGAAATTATAAGTTCAGGTTACATGGGAACAGCGGGACTGAGGTTTCAGGGCACCCAGAATCTTGCACACAACCTGTATTTTGCCGGGCTGAAGGCCCACACATTGTCCAGTTTTTCAGTTAGAGACAAGACTCGGAGAGAAAGCCAAATTTTTTTTGCTCAGTAACCTTGCTGGAGGCCTGAAAAACCTGCAAGTGGCCTCTGCAAGGTCACTTCTAGATGCTGGGAGGAAGGAGGAAGTGGTTGGGAACAGTGAGCAATACGGGATTGCTCTGGGTTTGTGGTCACACAAAAAACATCTGAGCACATCTCTCCGTCACCACTGGCAGTCCCCACACCAAGCAGCAGCTCGAGGCTACTGCGTGACAAGAGGTGGAGAGACAAACCACAGGGCTGGGTGGGCCATGTGAAAGGAGATTTTCAGCCCCAGTCATCTTCCTTACCTCCCATCCTGGTGAAAACGAGGGTGTGATGGCATCAGGAAAGGCTTCCCACAAGGAGCTGCATTAAGAGGGAAACAGGTCATTGCTCTTGGGTACAGAGAGGGGGTCCCATCAGCTCTTCCCATCAGCTAAGGCAGACGCTTCTCTTGGTGGCACCAGTCTGAAAACAGGACAGAGATGCAGCTGATTAAAACCTCGGAGAAGAGGGGAAGGCAGCCCAGTAGGTAAATCTTACCCAATTCCAAATGTCCAGGGCAGATATCCCAAAGGCAGGCAGGGCAGCAGCCCTTCCAGATGACCCTCACATGTGGTGCTCCCATATAAACTGTCTGGGGCATAAGTTTTCTGCAAGATGTGGTATTTTGTGTGCTGGCATCATCTCAGTTGTGTGACTGGGAGGGTGGAAAGTCAGCTAAAAGCACTGGGCCACGTGCAAAGGAAAGTAATAGCATGGATTTCTCTCTGGGGATCAAACAAAAAAAAAAAAAAAAAAAAAAAAAAAAAAAAAAAAAAAAAAAAAAAAAAAAAAAAAAAAAAAACACAAAACCCAGCAGATTTTAGAAACAGAGGTCAGAGGTTCCTTGGGTAAAAATAGCCCTGGCCAGCTGATATCCTGTGCAAACCCTCACCTCTTCCTTGGATTAAATACCTCTGTTTCTATTCAGAAGTGATGTTTAGAAACACCAAAAAAAGTTGAGGACTTATGTATGGACTGACTTCACCTCTGTATGAAGCTTCATAAGACTTGCACACTCTCTCAAAAGTCTGCCAGGTGAAACTGGGCAGATCTGAGGCAGAATCCATTCTGACCAGCTGAAGTTCTTTTAAATTCACTGAATTTTCCTGTTGCCCCAATGAGAGCGTTTGTATTACCACAAGAACTGCCCAGTGTAAGTTTTTATGATGTGATAAATATAAACAATGACAATTCATCTGCTGTTCCAAATTATTCTGCTCCTGACACACTGAAACTGTCACAAGTCTAGAGGTCACCAAAAGATTAAACACATAGGTTTGGAGTTCATTTCTTTTGATGAAAAAGTATATTAAGAAAAAAAAAAAAAAAAAAGAAGTAGTTGTTCCCAGATACACTTGGGAGCACTGGAAAGATGTGGCAATCCACTAGCATGAAGTAGTCCTTTATGGTTCAAAGAACAATCTCCAGAGTTAAAACTCGTGTTTCTGTCAGGATAAATTCCTCTTGCCTTTGAACGGGAGCTCCAAAGAGATGGAAAGGTGGATTTACTCACATCACTTGCCCTCTTGTTTCTCCAGAGTTTTATCTACCTGAGTAGGACCATCAAACCACAACAGGCTGCTTAAGCCCTTTATTACTCTCAAATTCGGCTTTTCAGTTTAGAATAACCCTGGTAAGCTTCTAATTCTGAGCAAATTCAAAAATATGCATGTCCTAACCATCACTCTTGGGATAACCTTCAGAAAGTAAGAATTTTGGATGAAGCTGTTGAGAGAGCAATTTTATGCAGGATCACACCAAATAATTTCCTGAGGTGCTACAGCTGAAAAAAACCCGAGTTTAAACAAGAGGGAGGGAAAATTCTGTTTCCTCGAGGACACGGCACAGTTTCAGACAGGACAGAGTGGATACTCCTGAAAGAGTTTTATAAGGTCTCTGTAGAAGGTTGAGATCTGGAAAAAACATTGGCAAGACAGAATGGAAAACACAGGTAGCACCTGCTGGAACTGCTGGGGGTCCTGATGCTGGGTGGGAGTTCTGGGGCAAAAGGTTTAATTTAATTCCCTTTAATTCCCTGCACCAGCTTTGGAAAACAGTTATGCTCTCCATCGCCAGGTTCTCCAGATGTAAAATAGGAGGATTAACAACCTCTCCCTGACTCTGTAACAACAGATTATAAAACCAGTAATGTTAAATTATTGCAGGTTCTCATTGCCAGACCACATGGATCATGGAACAGGTTTATGAAGGCACTCTCACACCAGTGAAATGAATGCTTGCTTATCTCTACAAAGAGAATCACACTCAGGTGGGCTGGCAGGTGTAATTTTTGTTCTCTGGAAAACCCCAGTACTTTTGTATAAGCTCCTGGAAAGGCAAATTAAATAAAAATAACGTTGTAGAAATTAATTGGCGAATTACTTAAAAAACCAAACACACAAAAACAAACAAACAAACAAAAAAACCAAAACCAAAAACAACAACAACAACAAACCCCACCTGAAATACCACTGTAGTTTGTTTTAGCAATGCTGATTTTTTTTTTTTTTCTGATAGCATAAAATCTCTTCTTCTTAACGACGTGGAAATAATTTGTTGCAGTGACAGTAAAACAATAAATCAGACCATCAATATACTATAAAAATAGCATGGCCTATAGCATGCTGAAGCCAGATTCTAATAAAAGCATCTCCATCAAAAAGGCAAAGCAGCGCAGAGAAATGAAATGTTTTGATGGTGTCAAAACAAAAACTGTGGTGTCAAAGCCTGGGAAACCCACGCCAGCCTAGGAAAACTACGCTCTCTTTCCTGGCAGCAGATGAAACATCCAGACATTTTTATCACAAGCCTTTCTGCCTCCCACTTGAGCCAGGCTCCTGATAACTGATCCATGAACACAGCCTGATCCAGACTACAGGAGCACATCCCAGCTCTCCTCTGAGCACTCTCAGCTGCTTTACAGGCCAGGAGGGATTTGTGCACGAGTGTCTGACAGCAGCACCGAGTGGCCTTGCCCCATACAAGAGCTGCATTAAGGCTTCTGGGGTGGTTAGATCCATGGGGCCCCATGTGCTCCTGGTAGGGCCCCCGCTTCCTGCTTGGAGAGCAGCTCTTCCCAACCTCTGAAAGCCTCCTCAAAGGGATGGCGTGAGTATCCACCCCCAAGCAGACTCATTCCACTAGCTTCAGATCAGATTTGCAGAAAGCAAGTGAAATCCAAGGCAAACCCTTGAGCGTTTCGTGGAAAGATTCCCAAAGGCTTCCCAGCAGGGTTTCATTTGCATTTTTTTGGCTACAGCCCCAAAACAACCAAGTTCTCCAGGTGAAGTGGTGGGTTTGGGTGACAGGGTGACACCTTGGAGCCCCTTGGCTGCAGGTGGAGGCGATCCCTTCCCCTGCTGTGGCACAGCGAGCAAAAGGCAACAGAGCACTGCGATGTTTCTGCCTTTGTCATGCAAATCCAGCTCATCTCCCCAGCACTCAAACAGCTCGGAACAGCTGTGCAGCTTCCTGAGGCAAAAAACCGCTGGAAGCCTCTCCGCTGGAGTATTTCATAAAATCCTACACCCTGCTCCCTGTGTTCTTGCATATGTATGGATAATGTTTGTTTGCCCTACATGTCGTGTGCTGCAGAAGTATTTTCTATTTCCTGGCGATCCTGGAAATCATTAATGACCTCAGAGCACAGCAGATGGCCTTGCCCCGCTCGTGGAAAGGAAACACAGAAGGAGGAAAATTCGCACGACCTGTTGGGAGTCCTGCGGCCAAACCCTGCTAGCTGAGAGCCCAGCAGTCCAGAGGGACCCACTGCAGGCTGGGACACAACCTGCAGGGATCTCTTTCTCAGAGCAGAGACTGTCCCGTGGCTTTGGGTAAATGCCTGGCTAATCTGTGCTGGTACAGATGTGTGGGGGAAGTTGCCGAGCTCCTGTCTGGCTCAGGAGATGGGTTTGCATGAAGCTGAGCGTTGCTTCGTGCTTTGACAGGCACAGCACATGCTGTGCTTTCACACTGGGACGATTTGGAGATAGGATTTGACTGGGGGGGAACCCAGAGGGAAAGATCTGGCTGGTCCTGAGCAGAGAGAGAGGAAGATGTGCACTCATTCTCTCTCTGAAAGGGGTACCGTGGGAGCAGCTACAGCCAGGAGCAGGAGGTGGAACAGCCTCTGTTCTAGAGAGCTGACAACCCTGACAGCTGAAGAGAAAAGTACTACCCCATTTAATTGCAGGAGAATTGAAGCAGAGAGGAGTTTAAAAGATAGGCTTAAGGTTGTGTGGAAAAAAAAAAAACCTCTGGCAGACCATGACCTGAACTTACTGTCCTGAAAGAAACCCACGTCCCAGCCCAGCCCTTCACACAACCTCTCTGACCCCCAGCTCGACTCCTGCACTGGATCTGTCCTCCAAAAGGGTGCCAGCAATCCCAGGGCAAGATTTTCCTGCTGGAGAAGAAATAAAGGGTGGGGTGAGATGAGACTGACAGTGAGGGAATTGGGATTATTTTTATCATTGTGGAGCTTCAGACATTTTTTTTGGGCTCTCTCCATTTTCAGCCTCGCAGATGAAGTAGAAACTGCGGCTATCAGCACTGAAACTTCTCCCTGGCACTCTGACTGTTGTTGTCCTGGTTCTGACCTCTCTGGAAAGCAGAGTGGGGAAGCGAGAGGAGCCAGCAGCTGAGAGCAGCAGGGCCCTGCAGCCTCCTGAGCTGCAGCCCGGCAGAAGTTAAGGGGCTCCCTTTGCCTGTACAGCTGCTACAGGACTTACCAGGACACAGTCACCCTTGGTCCTAACTTCTGGAGCAGATTAGCTCCTTTCCACCTCAGTGAAGCCTTTCTCAAGCCGCCAGCTCCTTTGAGAAGGCACCTGAAAGCAGCCAGAGGAGCCCTCAGCACCCACATTTGACCAATCCTCCCGTTCCTTGCAGCGTTTCAAATTTTCAACAGCCCCTTCAGTTTTGTTTCCCGTTTCTTTTGTAAGCAGCTTTTTCGGGGAGCAACAACCTCTCCCTTTGACCTCTCACATAACACTGGGGGCAGTGGGTGCTGGGACTGCCCAGACAACTCCAGGAATTCAACAGCCTGCTCGCCCAGATTCAGTCCTGCCTGTCAGAGGTGTTGGTTGACAGGATTGCTGTAACATCTTCAGGCCTCACCATAGAGCTTTTTTACCCCGGGGGTGTCACATGGATTCAATCATCTCCCAGTAGCCACCCCCAGCTCTCCCAGCAGCTGCACAGGGAGGAAAATACCCGCAGCCATGACTCAAAAAGCAATAACAGTTCAAAAATCTCAAGGTCTAAATTCCTCTGTCATTTGGGGGCTTTTTTTCCCAAGTCTGCTGACTGCCTGGGACTCTTCCCACTGATCTAAAAGGTCAGGGATTGGGTAAATACAATTAGGCAGGGACTGCATCCCCACCAACTGCTGAAAAGCATCTGTCTGCAAGGTGAACATCTTGCTCACCACATGCCACAGGATTCATTTTTGCTCTCTTTCTGCCTCCCCCCTACACACACACACATTTCAGACCACGCTGCACAACATGGTCCTCCAGCATGGCATAAAACTTCTCCATGAGTTTGTGGTAAAAAAGCCTCAGCAAGGT